GTTCAATTTTTAGATAAACTAAATAAGGTTAAATTACGATTATTACGAAATGTTAACACAAGATTCACTTGACAATCAGAAACTGAAGCTAGCCAGAATAAAAAAACTCGATGAATAGTTCTGTAGCTATATTCATACATATTTTCTTGACAAGAAATTAGGACATGTTTGAAAATCTTGTACTAAAAATTTGTAGGCAACAATTTTTGTTGCAATTTCTGTATGATACTATGCAAGATTAAAAAGTTCTTAATTAATTACTAAAATTAGTTCTAATTTTAGCATAGTGTCATACGACCCTAAGAGGGTTAGTCAGGTTAGCTTCTAGGGCCGGGTAAGGGGACCAGAAATGTTCTACTACGGTTTTGGACTTTATTTCCCTTTCACACTACACTGCTCGGCCATATATCTATTCTCTACTCATGTTACTAAACATTTACAATGTTTTAAACTATACTATCTGCTATTATTAACAATACTAATAACGTCTTTTCAACTACATCTTCACGGCTTCACTTCTCGACTTCGACTCCCTCTCATTCCTTGTCTCCTTCATACCCTTCTTCTTCTTCTTCTTCATTTACACCAATTATAATCCCTACACTTTAGCACAGTATGGCGACCACGTAGTTGCAGTTATTTGTATTTCCCCCACCCTATACTATTAGCGATCCAGTTTAATTTAAGAAATTCATGTTTACCATGAAGAACGAATTTCCATGCGGCCATGCTAAATTTAAAAAAAGGCAAATTAGCTAAACAGCGCTGAAATTTTGACGGTCATAAATTTAATTTTAGATTAATATTTTAGTTTCAATTTAACTTGTGTCTATTAAAAGATAATTGGTGCAAGTGGCTATTATAAATAAAGTATCGGATACTTCAAACTTAGCAAAGTATCCGTTTTTTTTATTGAATAGATACATTTTGCAGTTGCACATCACTAGTTGGTAGTAGTAGTAGTTGGTTGTTGGTAGCAATGCTTTTTCTCACTTCTCAGGAAAATGAAATTATTGAATATAGAGTGAAGTATTTAAAGTTTAGTTTTAATAGGAAACAGGAAATTGTATTTTTGTAACATTCCTGTGAAAAGAGAACATTTCCCCGTATTTCATCCTCATCCTTTTTGGAGGCTGACCGGACTGGTAACACTAGGCGTAGAGATGAGAAATCCGGTTCATTTTGTTGACCCGGTTCACCGGTTCTGGTTCCTCATACGGAGCCGGTTCAGTGAGCCGGCTCAATTGAGCCGAATTTGTCATGACTATCCCTTCCCTTCTTTTCTTTCTAGTACACTGCGACCCGTGTAGCCGAGTGAATGTATTGCGTAGCTCACTTAATAAAATTATTAAACAGATACATAATAGTACATTATACTATAAGGGAGAGAAATGCGTTATTTTGGCAGAGGTGCAATTTGAGCTACAATGCACCGAGGACAAAATAGCATCTCTCCCGAATGGTATATACTATTTTTTCCACGGTCTCATGAACTTAAAAACACATATTTTGTCATTATGAAGTAAGTGGCTCCAGAATTATTGTATTCGGATTTGAGCATTTATTTAGTAGTGGTTGAGTTATTGTCATAACTACAAAGTAAACAAACAAAAAGAATTGTCAAATTAAGGTGCTAGTTTAGTTTAGTTTAAAGTTTGTTTAGTGCACAATGAATAATTGTGACTCGGAAGAGATTGTGGAGGCTGCAAATATTGCAATAAGCAATTTGCTGCCTACGAAGTCAAGATCTTTATACGATATAGCCTACAATCGGTTCAAAAAGTGGTGCGCCGAGAAAAATGTTCAAGTATACAGCGAGAATGTTTTGTTGGCATACTTCAGTGAAAATGCAAAGAATTACAAGT